ACAAACCCCAAACGCTGGTGGATATTCCAATACTTAGATTTACCAACCAGCCCAAAACAGCTCCTGTATTACCTCACTGGTTACTCGGGGTCCAACCAACGCAGTTCCCTTAAAGTACCCGGCCTCAGGCCTCCGTCCAGACACACCTGTCAGATATGATGATGATTACTGAAAATCTTATCTCATCATAGAAAAGAAAAGGTTCTTCCAATCCCAAAGGATCAGCCACATACCCAGGTTCAATTATAACTTAGATCTTACCCAAAATACACGCTATAGTCAATTCTTATTAACTAAACTAAAATTTATTAAAAAAGAAAAGAGAGAGAGTGTTGGTTAAAAGATCAATATACAGACAGACTTGAATTCAATTCTTGAGGTTCAGATGCGTAGCAGAGGTGAGCTTGTAGTTGCCAAAAGTCCTTTTAGAAATAGTCCATAGGTTATAGTCCAATGTCCATATTCAGGGTGGCTCCAGTCAGTGACTGGGGATCTCAATCCTTGTGGTTTAAGGTTTCCCCCTCTTGAAACCCAAAGCTGATCTGAGATGAAGTAGGATCGTGTCCCTTTCAGCCTGAGAAAACAATAGGCTTAACTCTCCTTCCAAACATCCTGGCAATTAGCACAGGGCAATTTATCCATTACACAGTTCAGATACAGGTTACCACAACCTTCAAAGAGACATAGAGACAATAATACTATTTCACTCAAGTATCATCATAAATGTTAATATTCCTTTTTTGCTCTTTGAATGAAAGTTATAGCAATAGACAAGACTTGTTTGCTTACATCACAAGCCCTGAGCAAACCTCTACTCTTGAGATCTCTAACAATGCAGACTTGCATTTCAAAGCTCTGTTCATTTACAGATCTTCCTAACCAGTCCTTTAGGCTCGCCCATGGGTCAGGTCAGTCTGAGTTAATTAACTCTTTCTGGCCCTGTCACCTTCCAATGAAATATTATATCACACTCATAACGTCACAGGCCCGTTCTGGGTCTGTCTCCACTGCAGCGTGAGCTCAGGTTAGCAGATCCTGGCCTTGAGCGTCTGTAAGCCCCGGTGTGGAGCTCTTACACCCTGGCCCCGCCTGAGGCTTCAGCATCTACACTGCATTATGCGGGCCTGAGTCCAACCGCCCACATCCCAGAGTTCATGCACCCTCCCAAAACGTGGCCACTCTATCCCTCTGTTCCTGGTGCAATGTGGGGAGACTTGACTGGCCACTCAAGCTGCCTGTCCAGAAGACAAAGAAAGTCAGGGCTTGGGATCGTGTCTACTTTTGTCAGACTGCCAGAGCACGAGTCTAGTGGGGCTGCCGCATCTACATTGGGCTTGAACCCTGGCTCCAAGCTTGACTGAGGCGCAAGTCCTCCACCCCCCGTGGGGTCCTGGGTTAGCGTGATTTGTGTGTAGGCAGAAGGGGCTCACACTGCAGTGTAGACACACCCTCGGTTCCTGGGTGCCCGTCGCCTGCACTTGGGGGTTGGGGCACTGCCCTAAGGTGGCAGCCGAGGTCCATGTGACTAGGGCTGTCAGGAGATGGTGCTGCTGTCCTCAGGAGCTGTCAGGGTCAGAGGCAACTAAACTGGCGGCTGCCTCTGCGGGCGATGCTGAGGTTGACCCACCAACCCTTGTCTCTTGCAGATGATCGAAGTAGACGGCATTGGCCTGAATGCTGTCTTCATCCTCATCATGTCGCGCATGTCGCAGGCCTCGGGCTCCATCCTGCCGCCGCTGAGCTCGCTGGTGGGGCCCAAGAAGGTGTCTCCCACCGATGGGCAGAGGGAGCGAGAGGAGTCAGCGGACTCAGGTGAGGACAGAAACTCGGTGGCGCTGGGCAGCATCGCGCCGTGACCGGTTCGGGCAGGAGGAGAGCTGGACACCAGAGCCTCCCATTGAAGGCAGAGACCATGAGCCCCAATTGAGGGCTGTGACGGCAACTCCCTGGCTGCCTGTGGTGGCACGGGCCGCTCGCTGCGGTGCCAGGGCCGCTCGCTGCGGTGCCAGGGCCGCTCGCTGCGGTGCCACGGGCCGCTCGCTGCGGTGCCAGGGCCGCTCGCTGCGGTGCCACGGGCCGCTCGCTGCGGTGCCAGGGCCGCTCGCTGAGGTGCCAGGGCATGCTTGGCTGCTGCCAGCTCAGGTAGACACCTGGGGCTGGGGGGGCTGCGCTTTTTAGTCTCTTGATCCTTTAATTGCATTTGTGCCTCCTTCCTGCAGCTCCTTTTGTTCAGTCTGGGCCATTTAATCCCTGGGAATTACCGGCAGGGGAAGGGCAGCTGAGGTCCCAGCAGCTGCAGAGGTGGCGCAGTGGAGACAGTGATGGGGGAGGGTAAGAAGCAGGGCAGGTTGAGGAAGTGCAGGGGGCTGGCAGCAGGGAAGAGTGAGAAGGAGCTGAAGATGGCAGGGGGAGACCTGCAGGCTTGTGTCACAGCCCTGACAGCAACGGGCAGCAGGGGAGACAGAGCTACGCTGGAGCTGCCCCCTTGTCCCTCTGCAGCACTGGCACTGTAACCCTGCTCTGTTCAATAGTGCTGGCCCTCCAAAGCACAGCTGGTGCCTCCAGCAGCCAGGCGAGTGAGGGGTCTAGCTCCTTTCCCCAGGGCAGGGCTGGCGGGGGGTCCCCAAAGAAGCGTGTGGGAGTGGTGGGTTGAGGATGGGGTAATTATGGGTGGTCCAGGGGCTATAAAGCAGGTCCCCTGTGGTTCCCCAGGCCACTGGAGCTGGGGGTGTCCTAGGGAGTGTTGGAGGCACAGCTGCAGGGGCATGACGGGCCGTGGGGGGGCATATCTCTGCTCCCCTACGTATTGTGCCCTCTCCGTTCAGCCCCAGTCTGGCTCTGCTTTTGCTGCTGGGGGAGGTTACAGGGGGTGCCTGGGGCTGCAGCCGCCTCCTCCCTGAGGCTCCGTGTCTTGCAGGCTGCAGCTCCCTGAGCGGCTTTGCCAAGTCCCTGCAGAAGGCAGAGGCCCTGCTGTGGAACTGCGTGAACCCCAGTGTGCGGCGCCTCCTGCAGCAGCATGCCAGCGCCAGTGCCTACGACAGCAATGAGGAGGACTCGCCCGGCGCCCTCGCCCGCCTGGCCCAGGTGGAGCACAGCTTCCTGGGGCTCAGCCGCTGCCTCTGCGTGCAGGAGAACCCCCGCACGGAGACCTTCCGGGGCCACGTCAAGCCGGCGGCCAGTGACACGGCCCAGGGCGCCTTCTCCTACCACCCCGTCTACCCCCGCGTGGCCAAGCACTGTGCCACCTTGCACGCCCTGCTGCAGCACCGCCACCGCCTCCGCCTCTCCCACGAGTACAGCCGCCGCCTCAAAGGGGCCTCGGACTTCGTCCGCCACCTCCTGACTCTCTTGGCGCTGAAGGACCCGGGCGGGGACCCTGGGGGGAGCAGGCAGCTCAGGGGACTCTGTGAGGAGCTGCGGACTCACACCAGCCACTGGAGCGGGCTGCAGCGCAAGATGCGCAGCGACCCCTGGCTGCGGGTGCTGCTGCTGCAGCATCACGAGTCGGTGACGCACATGAAGCGGGCGCTGGGCCTGCTGGCCCTGCATGCCATCCGCCTGGTGGAGCGCTACGTGGAGGTGCTGCTGCACTGCCTGGCATGGGCCAGCCCCGCCGCCGTCTCCCCTGCCCAGCTCTCCGACCTGTTCCAGGGCCTGGAGATCTACAACCACGTGCTGAGCGACCAGGCCCTGGAGCGGGCCTCCAGCGAGCCGGGGGCTGATCCCGCCACCCCACTCCGGCGCAAAGGGGAGGTGGGGGGTGGTGCTCAGGCCTATCCCATTGGGCGGGTGCTGGGCGTGCTGGCAGCCGAGAGAGGCAGGCTGGCCGCCCACAGACTCCAGCAGCTCCTCCTGCAGCAGGCACAGCGGACACAGCGGGACTGCCTGGATCAGGTGTACTGGGAGAATGCTGTGGTGACTTGGTCCATGGACCGCAGCAGCATTAGCGAGACAGATGTGGGGTCCCCTGGGCCCCCCACAGTGGAGGAGCTGCCGAGCCTCCCCGCGGAGCTGCAGGTGCTGTGCAGGGAGGACAAGGAGCTCCTGGACCTTGTTCTGGGAGTCCTGGTGGCCTCCACTGACACGCTCTGGCACCATGTGCTCAAGAGGCCCAAGCAGGAGAAGCCCCCGGCAGAGGAGGGCCAGGAGCCCCCGCTGGTGCCGGCAGCCAGCCCGGGCCTGGACGAGAGGCTGAGCTTGGCCTCCCTGCCCAGCTGGAAGTCCGTGCGCTGGCTGGACGCGTCCTACTCGGAGGCTGCCGAGGTTCTGTATGCGCAGTACCGCCCGCTCTTCTGGGAGGCCGCGGCCACCTCACTGGCTCATCGCCTGGAGCTGCGGCAGGACCAGGCACAGCCCTGCGGAGGCCTGCCCCAGTGCTCAGAAAGAGCAACAGCCACGCTGGCGCGGGAGCTGAGCCAGGCGCTGAGTCAGGGTGAGTGCAGGGGGGCGGGGACTGGGACATGGGGCCTGTCCCCTCTAGGGGGCGCCGGCTCCGATCCGGTCTCAGGGTGGGGGCCTGGTTGGTTATGGGGGATGGGAATGGGGCACAGGGTCTTTCCCCTCCAGGGGGTGCTGGCTCTGATCCGGCCCTGGGGCAGGGACTGGCTGGATCGGGGGGCAGGTAATAGGACATGGGGTCTTTCCTCTCCAGGGGGTGCTGACTCTGATCCGGACCCAGGGCGGGGACTGGCTGGCTGGTGGGGGGTGAGGGTTTGGGACATAGTGCATCTCCCCTCTGGGGGCGCTGACTCCCATCTGGCCCTGGGGCAGGGACTGGCTAGCTGGGGGATGGGGAATAGGACACATGGCCTGTCCCCTCTAGGGGGTGCCATCTCCGATCTGGCCTCAGGGTGGGGGCTTGGTTGGTTATGGGGGGTGGGAATGGGGCACAGGGTCTTTCCAGGGGGTGCTGGCTCTGATCCGGACCCAGGGTGGGGACTGGCTGGCTTGGGGGGCAGGGTTTGGGACATGGTGCGTCTCCGCTCTGAGGGCGCTGGCTCCCATCCAGGTTAAGGTTTTGGTGCCCAGATATCCTTCCCATCAGCGCTGCGGCGTGGCCCCTGGTGCAGGAGTTGGGGTCTCAGGCCAGGGGTCTGCCCTGGCCTGGCAGCATCTAGCTACCTGGTTGGCACCAGCAGCAGGGAGCCAAAGGCTGCCTGGCCTGATCCCCTCCTCCTCCCCCGGGGCTGTGCCCAGGGGCAGGGCCTGTCCTGGTGCTCACCCCTGTGTTCGCTTGCAGCCCGCGTGCCCCTGGAGTGCGAGGCGGCGCTGCGACGCCTGTGCCTGTGTCTGACCTCTCAGGCTGTCTTCCAGAGCTGGGACCGAGGTAAGGCCCAAGGGCTGCTGGCCTGGAGGCCCTGAGGCCGGCAGGAGTGCTTTGGGGAGGCCTGGCTGCTGGCACTGGTACCTGAGGGGCTCTGGGAACAGGGGGCCCTGCATGGGGTATTTTGGGGGCACGCTGGGAGTGGGGAGGCTCTCGGTGACCTCGGGGGGACAGGGGCAGAGTGTTTCAGGGCCCCAGTGTCCTCCCCGTTGGCCAGGTGGCGGCAGCATCTCCCTTCCCTCTCCGCAGGGTTCTGCCAGGCCCTGGGCTCCAGCCTCAGCGATAAGTGCGTGCCTGGGCCCAGGACAGCGGGCAGGGCGCACAGCAGGACTGCCCAGCTGCTCCGGGAGCTCCACCCTCCCCTGGCCTTCGCCCTGAAATGCCTGGAGCCTCGGCTCGCTGCAAGGACTGGTGAGTGAGGCCCTGCCCGGACGCCAGGGGTCTCTCGGCTGCAGGGCTGGAGACTCAGGGCAGCGGAGGAGGGTTCTGTATCAGCCAGAGGGGTCGCTCACTGTGGGGGGCGGTTCCTCATGGGGACATGTGCCCCAGTGCTCTGCAGATTCTAGGGCCCTGGCACTGCCTGTCCCCCCCCCCCCCCGGCCCCCCCCGGCGCCGCCCGGCCCCCCCCCCCTGCCCCTAAGGCCGCCCCTGGCACTTCCTGGCCCCCGAATCCCCACACCATCCCCCTCTCACCCCCAGGCCACCCCTGGCACTGCCCGGCCCCACCACCCCAGCGCCAGCCCTCCCTCCCCCACTTCCGGGGCCACCCCTGGCAGTGCCTCCCGCCCCGAGTCCTCTCCCCTGCGCCAGCTCACTCTGTTCCCTCCCTGCAGCGGGCGGCGACCTCGTCTGGCCGAGTCTCCGGCTGGAGCTGCTGAGTCGCTGCCTGGCCACGGGGCAGGCCTCCTGCTCCTGGCTCATGGCCAAGGCCTATCAGCACCTTGCGGTCTGGTCCCTCTGCCCGTTCCTGCTCGTCACCCAGGGAGATCTCCAGGCAAGTACGGCTCCCGGGACGCTTCCTCGGGCTGGGACCCGCAGCCAGGGAGATGCTGGCTGGGCCTGGGGCCTCTCCTCCCACAGCCACAGGGACCCGACCCCCAGCACCAGCTGCTCCCAAACCAGAGTCCCTCCCTGTAGTGTGCCCGGGCGCAGCGGGGGTGGGGCTGGGATCCCAGGCCTGGGGAGGGCTGCAACTGGCCCCCAGCCAGGCTCTCTTTGGCCATGGCTGGGCTCAGGGCCTCACGTCTTCCTCTCCTCTGCAGCTGTTAAAGGCAGAGACCACCAGGTTGGCGGAGCTCGTGAGTGGGGCCTTCCCTGAGGGGGGGGACAGCCCCAGGTGGGTGCGGCCGGCCCTCGGCTCCCACCAGGAGCGGCAGCTGTGCCTACAGATCCACTCCACTGCCACCAGCATCCAGGTAAGGGACCTGCCCTGCCTCACGGTGGCTGCACAGGGTTCGGGTCTCGGGGCTTCAGGGGAGGGTCCCTGCCTTGGGTCAGCTCCTTCCTCCCTGAGCCGCACCCCTTCCGGGAGCAGGGGCCAGGCCTGGCCGCACTCCTCTGGCGAGCCCGGGGAGCTGGGGCCGGGGAGCTTGGGTCGGGGAGCTGGGCACGGGCTGGAAACCCCTGCATGGAGGGTTGGAACAGCTTCCTGTCCCCCGCCCTGTTCTGCTGCAGGGCAGGGCTGCTGGGGTGGGGCCAGCGGGGACCTGGCGAGGGGGACTGGCTCTGATCCAGGTGGGCAGGTCATAGGGGGAACAGCTGGGGGCAGCTCTAGTCAGATGGGTGGTGTGGAGTGTGCAGTGCTGGCTCTGAGCTGGGTAGGCTGGGGGCGGGGCGGCCCCACGGTGGCGGCGCTGGACGGAGGCTGGCTCTGCTCCATCTCCTGGCACACGTGCCCGGGACCCTGCTACGTCCTGGCAGGGCGCGCTGTCGTCCTTGCTGGAGTAAGCTGACAGGTGCCCGAGGGTGGGGGTGCCAAGCCGGGCTCTCTCGGGGGTGCCGGCCCAGCTCCCCCTCTGTTCCCCAGAGCTTCTCGCAGGACGTGCTGCGGATGTTCTCCAGCGACTGCAAACGGATGTCGGCAGAGATCTTCAGCCAGACCATGCCGCTGGGCAAGCACTGGCGAGCAGGCCTCCGTGCAGGTACGTCCCCCCGTGTCCTCTGTGCCCAGCCCCTGCCCGCCGACAGACCCGGTGGGCAGAGCAGCTCAGAGCTGGCATGTCAGGCTGAGAGCAGCTTCCTTCTTGCCCAGGCCTGTCCCGGACCCTGCCCTGCCAAGGCAGTCCGGAGCACCAGCTCTGGGCCCAGGCCCTGCTAGCAGGCCGCTGACCCGGCTGTCCCCTGTGGCACTCCCAGGGCCCCTGGCATGCTGGGCTGGCTGCAGCTTGAGTCTCTGGGGCAGCACCATCCCCACAGGGCCCAGGCCAGCTCTGGTCCCAGCGAGAACGGGAGGTACCTGCTGCTGGGGGCGCAGGGTGAGCACTGCCCTACCTCCAGTGGTCGAACGACTCGGCATCCAGCGCCCCCTGGGGCCGGGCGTGGCATAGCAGGCTCTTTGGGGCCATGGTGAGTCACTGTAAGTCTTGCCCTTCAGGGGTGGAGTGTCCCACAAACGGGTCCATCGGCCTCACACCGAGTCCTTCCTCCCTGCTCCCCGGGGTTTACCCACCTCCCTGCCCAGGCCCCGCTCTCCTCTGGGCTCCAGCCGGGGACCCGACTGTGAACAAGCAGGGTCTGCCTAGTCAGACTCACTCCCTGCTCCGCCTGTCAGCGGGCCCTTCCCACAGCTCCGGATCCGCTCCAGGCTCCCCCAGGTGCTGCCCTCGCTACCCAGCTCCGTCCCTCGTGTGGCCCTTCCAGCGCTCGCCGGGGAGATCTGGGCCCTGCCCCCTGCTGCCAGCTCTCCCTGGGCCCCTCCTGCTTCCTGTCTGCAGCTGCCCAGCTGCCCATCTGCACTGGGCCTACCACACTCTAAAGCGCTCCCCGTAACCCTTGCAGTGCCAGTGTGGGGCATACACCCCTCCAGCCATGCAGGGGTAACGCTGCCCCCTCCCCCGCCTCTTTCAGACCTGCCCAGCACCCCGAGTGAGTACGCCTTGGCCGCTGCCCAGAGTGTCCTGGGCCAGGTCCTGCAGGGCATCCAGCTGCTCCCGCACGAGTCCCAGGTGCCCGCGCTCACCCACGTCATGACAGCCTTCGTGGAAGCCTGGATGGACCACATCCTCACCCAGAAAATCAAGTTCAGGTACTGGAGCTCACGGGGTGGGGGGCTGCGGGTCAGGATTGAGGGGCACTAGCGGAGCTGGGGGGAG